AAAAAAAAAAAAAAAAAAAAAAAAGGCAGCAAGATAGGACAAACTCCTCAATGTGATGAAGGAAAGCATCACCACCCCTGCTTGTGGATGATATGTCACACAACACACTATATTTTCCCATAAAATTGGAGCAAGGCAGTAAAGCCTGCCTTCACTCCCTAGCTTGTGCATTAAAGAAACAACAGCAAAGAGGAACCAAAAAGATGAGAAAAGATGAGCTGAGACTGCTTTTGTCATCTGTTGCTATGACTGATTACATAGAAAATCCTAAGGAATGTACAGAAACACCCCTAAAAGCAATAAGTACCTTTTGAAAGAGAGCAGAAACAATGAGCATATAAAAATTGGTTGTACCACTATATAAAAGGAACAGTAAGTAGAAACAACAATATTATCACAATGTAAAATGTTAGAAATAAATTTAACAAAAGAAGTATGAGATCTTTACCTTGGAGACTAAAACAAACATGCAGATAGATGTTAAACACCAAAATTAGTGGGCAAATAGGACATGTCACCAACTGGAAGGCTCGTGATTGCTAAGATGTCAATTCTCATCAAACTAACTGTGTATTTTATAATATATAATGTAAATGTGTACTTTACATATGTGCTTTATTAATAACAAATCATATCCTAATACAACTCTATAACTAAAGCCTATAGACTAGAAATACAAGTGAAAGTAGCACACAACTGTTCAGAAATTAACAATTTGATTCTAAAATACACGCAAAAATTCTTACAAGAGTCAAATAACTTTCAATAAACAGCAAGGAAAAAGGAAGGCTTAGTCTATTTGCCTGACACTGAATTTACTGAATTGCTTTATAGTACAAATTTAGTCTATAGTTCTGTTGACCAAGACAATGTGGAGTTGGTAAAGGTTAGATGCCCAAATATATCAACAGAATGGAATAGAATGTTTAGAAATATGTGTATTAAAACATAGTTAAGGATTTTTCAGTAAGATGGTGAGGAAGGAAAATCAATTCAAAGCATTGCACTGAAGTGAAATGGATATTTACATAAGCTCAAATGAACCTCAAAACCCTAACATAGTTAACAGTCGATATGAAATGGATTATAAATTAAAGGTAGAGGCTAAAATTGTAAATCTTCTAGCAGAAAACACGACCTTCATGACCTTAGGATAAACAACAATTTCCTGGAGAAGACATAAAAATAAATATCAATGCAATAAAACACAATTTAGATTTCGTCAAAGCACTACAGGTACCGTGTTTTTTAGAAAAAATTCCATTGACTAGAAATGGCACTTGAATTCTTTTCATCTGTAGTATCAACTACCAAGGGAGAAGTTTCTCAAAAAACAAGGCTTAGGAATACTATGTAGCCATTAGAAGAGTTGATTTTTGTACTTATGCTATCAAGTATCTCCTTCATCTAAAATCTTTTTAATTATAAAAGCATTGAATAGTTTCAATTTTTATTGTAGGAGTCATAATAACATGCAGAAATGTCTTTCCCAAGTTCCTGGTGATTGTCTTCTAATTAATCTCTGATGTTTTTCTCTTCTAGAAAAGAATTATATTGAAAGTCCTTACCATACCAAGCCTAAAAAATGGCCATTTTTCTTGATCATTCCTTTTTTCATTATTTTATCTGTACTGATTGCTATGCTGGCAAAAGTCTATTACCAAAGAAAAAAATGGAAAAGTGAAGACTATATAAGTGATGAGTATGTTGATTTCATATTTGTTTTATTACTTTTATAATTGTTGGTATAATAACTTATTGATAGCATCATGACAGATATAAATAGTAATAATTCAGATTTAACTTTTTAATATGGTAATTTAGCACTTAACTTGTTAATAATTAATATAATGAATAATCAGCAGAAACCAACTATTTTAATCTGACAAAAACTCGGAGCTGGGTGTGGTGGCACATGCTTATAATCCCAGCACTCTGGGAGGATGAGGCAGGAGGATTTAAAGTTTGAGCCAGGATGGGTAACTTAGCAATTTAGGGAGACCCTGTTTAAAAATGGAAACAGTCCAGGCATGGTGGCACAAGCCTGTAATCCCAGCAATCTGGAGGCTGAGGAAGGCGGATCACAGCAATTTCAAGGCCAGCCTGGCCTACTCAGTTCAAGGCTGGTCTGAATTACACAGCAAGACTCAAAAGAAAAAAAAAAAAACAATCCCCCCAAAAAACACCAAAAAAATGAATTACCTGAAAGTATGCTGTAAGAATAAAAATATGATGGGGATATAGCTCAGAGGCACAGTGCCTGCCTGTCAAGTGTGAGGTCATGAGTTCAATCCCCAGTTCTAAAAGGAAAAGAATAAAAATTAAAATATTAAAATTTGTATAATGCTCAAGGAAATTTCTATAAAATAATTTCTGTCTTTGAACGTTATACTTACGCCTCTTATATTACTTAAAAATGAATTTGAATTGCACTAAATGAAGTAATAAGGCAATGTACATGGACCATATTTCATGGATACATGTTGAGAAGTGAATGTAAAATTGTGGAAATATTATGAAGCATATAAAATTGTTAATAATTTTAAATATACTTTGTTAATACTGAAATATGTTAACTTTTTACATTGGATAACTTTATAGTGGAGAAATTAATATCAAATACCTGAGAGGGGAAATAAGGTTGTAAATATAAAAATAAACAGGGCTAAAAATGAAGTATAGAAGAAAGCTGAAAGACATTTCACCAGTAACAATTTGAACATGAAAATGACCTAGATCTCAGCTATTCCCCTTCTAGGTATCTTCCTGAAAGAGTTAAATACATCCTATTACAGGGACACATGCTCACCCATGTCAGTAGACGCACAACCCATAATAGCTAAGTCTTGGAAGTGGCCTATCTGTCTATTAACAGATGAATGGATGATGAAAATATGGTATATATATTCAGTAGAATACTACTTTGCCTTAATTAAAGATAAACTTGACTCTTTTATAGGGAAATGGATGCAACTTGAGACCATAATGTTAAATGAAATAAATCAGACAACACAAGCTTAAATCCCACATGGTTGTTCTTACATGAAAGATGTAAAGTATAAATACATTAACTAGCCAAATAAAAGATAATAGGAAACAGAAAGATCTTCTGCAAAAGGGAAGGAGACTTAAGAGATGGAAGGGGCAAGGAAAGGGATGTAAAAAGAATTGAGACGTGCCGTGAGCATCGACCAGCTCCCCACCATGCATGTGATCATCACATACTAATAAAAAGAAAGGAACTGATGAAAGAAAGGAACTGATGAGGAACTGATGAAAATGTTTGAAGGAGCAGGCATCACTGGTCCTCATCCCACAGCTTGAGTACCAGGGGAGGGGTACTCTCTGTGCAGCAGATTTCCAAGGACTGGCCACACCCAGCTCACAGGGGGAGGGCAGGTGCTGTTTCAGTACGGACAAAATGGTACAGGGCTTTGGAGAAAATATACTTTAAAATGATTATTTTTATTTTTAAAAATACAGGGATCTTGAAAGTGAGAGTGAACCCAAAGCCTCCAAAGGCTCCAAAGTCTCTGTCCAGCAGACTGGATAGCAAGGACTCTGTGATGCCCCAGTGAGTGTCAAGTACTCCAAGGTGTGAACGTGGGGAGGGGGTGTTATGAAAACAGACTCATGTATTCGGTAGGGATGGACATATCAAAATGTTGGTTAAAGGTAAATAACGTGCTTAAAGTCTATTTCACACTAAGGGTACTCATGTGATCTTTGCATCTAATGTCATCAATTTGCTTGGCCCCACTGGTAACTTTTTCCCCTTTCTTCAGTCTTTCAGAGCAATTGTCTTCAGTGGATCAAAAAAATGGAAAAGAAAAAACAGGCACTACATTATTTCCCGGAAGTCAAACCTATATGTGTGATTTCTAGTGCACCAGAAATTATAGATATTTTCATGTACATGTAATATATACATATACACATATATGATTCCAAAGACAATTTATTTATAAGAAAGGCCCAATTATGAGTTTTATATTACATTTTTCTCATTTTAAAAGTTATTTCACACTGTGTTAGCCAGAAGTCAGCAATTCTGTTAGTTAGTAGGCATGCTATAGAAGAAGTTATAATAAAGATAATGCCATGATTAAAGGCTACTGTGATATTTTAAATTCCAAAGAATAGGTTTTTAATGCTATAATCTGATGGTTTAATAATGTTCCAAAAGTCTGGGGAAAAAACTCTCACCTATTTATTTCACTTATGAGTACAATCTCCAGTTGCATCCATTTACCTATAAAATCGCAAGTTTATCCTTCTTTATGGCTGAAAAGTACTCCATTGTATAAAAAGACCATATTATTTTTTATCCATTTTTCAGTTGATGGCATTTGAGTTGTTTCCAAGACTGGACTATTACAAGTTAGTGTGAGAAGCTGAACAAGTAAATAAGATGCAAAATGTACAGTAGATATTATGAATTGGGAAAAAACTGTTCAAAAGAAAAGAGAAACTCTGATGAGGGAAAGGAGAAAGGAAGGAAAAGAAAAGAAAACTAAACACAAGATAGTTAAGATAGTTATACAGGCTGGGGATGTAGCTCAGTGGTAGAGGGCTTGCCTTGCACACCACCCTGAGTTCAATCCCCCGGTACCACACATCAAAAAGATAGTTTTACAGCTAGTTTCTCTTAGTTCATTGAAAAGAAAGGTTTGTACCAAGATTGTTTGGACAATATTTCATGCCTCTGTCTTATAATCTGAGTAACTGCTATGAAGATAACAATACACAATGTATTAATTATTGTTACTATCCTATTATCTTGTCTTGAAAGCTTGTTTTTTTCTCTTTTAAAAAATTTCTCGGGGCTGGGGATTTAGCTCAGCAGCAAAAGCGCCTGCCTGGCAAGCACAAGGTCATGAGTTCAGTTCCCGGTACCGGAGAAAAAAAAAAAAAAAAAAAAAAAAAAAAATTTCTCACCTATATGCTGTTTTCAGAAAACACAATTCCAAGTATATCAAGACTGTAAGTAAAGAGTGGAAAAATATATACAGTACCACAGGAATTTTATACAAGAAAAGTTGATACACTTTAACATTGAAAGTATTTATACAGATTTAACAAAAGAATATATCATAATGCAGAGGGCCAGTCTAACAGGAAGGTATATGTCTTAGTTACTCTTTCATTGCTGACGGAAAATACCCAGTACCCAAAGTTAAGAGAGGAAAGGTTTATTTAGCTCATGGTTTATAAAAGTTTCAGCTCATAGTCAACTGGTTCCAAGGCAGGGTGGTGTGGCAGACAGGATCACAGAGGAGAAACAGTTCATGGCAAAGCAGGGCAGGCAAAAGGCAGCAAACAACAAGCAAGGGCCCAACTAAAAGTAGTAACTAGCAGCAAGCCTCTTTTTATCCCTTATATCATATCCCTAATGGCAGGTAGCACTCACACCTTTAATCCTAGCACCCTTAATCCTAGCATTGCACCATGAATGAATCGCACATGCTAGATCCACCCACCCCTGAAAAAAATCCCATCTGTGACCACTTGAGGCTTTGGGGAGGACATCTAGACACAAACCATGACGTTCTGCCCTTGGCCCTTGAAAGACTCATGTGCATCTCTTTATGCCAAACACATTTAGTCTATCTGTAGGAGTTGCCAAAGTTTTAACAGTTTTAGCATTTCTAAAGACTCTTAAGCCCAAAAGCTCCTCTGCAATTTAAAGCAAACTCTTAGCTGCAAGCCCTGGGCAAAGGACAAGAAAGTTAAACACTTCTAATGTTTTCTCTAATAGCATGCTTTGGTGTCGTGTATTTTATTTCTAGTATAATTTTTACAGGTTTTTGCTTTGTTCATCTTACTGTATCTTAAAGAAAAATTTATGCATCTTACAAAAAACACTGTGTAGTTAAAGTGGGTTATTTTAGGGTACTATCAACTTTTATTATTAGAAAGCAACAAAAACATCTATATTTTAATGCCACTCCTTATACAATTTAAATTTTTGATGTCATTATTTACATTTTTATACTGTTCATCCTTTATCAAATTATCAGTTGTTACTTATATTTTGTCATTACTTTTCCTTCCAAAGATATAAATTAACTTACATGCCTTCAATGTTCAGAAGATTCTGAATTTGACTAATTGTTTTGCTAGATATAGTAATCTTGGTTAGTAGTTCTTTACTTCAGTGCTTTAAATATATCATCCTATGCACTTCTAGCCTGCTGTGTTTCAGCTAGGAAATCTCCTGAAATATTGACGTTTTGTTAAAATTTGATGTTTCTTATCTTTTGCTACTTTCAGTATTCTTTCTTGGTTTTGGATTTTTAATAATTTGATTGATGTACCTTGAGGAATTCCTCTTTGGGTTGAATTTGGTGACCTCTGAGCATCTCGTACTTGGATATTGTCATATTTTCCCTCTATTTGCAACTGTTAAATATACTTTCTCTATTTGCAACATTCTCTTAAATATACTTTCTAGGCCTTTGCAGCCTTGACCCTCACAAGATTATTAAGGAGCTTAAAGAGCTTTAGTTAACATGGGTTCTATTCCTGGATATTTATCATATAGAAATTAAAATTTTAAAATATTTATTAATTCATTAAAAATAATAATGCACCTATGTAAATATAAATAGCACATTGTTTTTTAAAACTATATTTTCTTTTTAAAATTCCATGAGAAGACTGGCATTGTTTCACCTTTTTCAAATCCTTCTCATGTCCACCTCAATAGAGACAGTTGAAGTCTGGTATCTGCTTCTGTGTTTAAGCTGATATGATACCATATTTTATGCAGCTTCTAGAAAACTCTGCCGCACACTTGGGAGAGCATGAGAGTAGAAAAGATAAATGCTAACGCTGCTATAAAAAATGGGGTTTTTGACACGGGTGAGCCTATCCAGCCCCTGCCCCACCAGTGTGGGAGCCAGGCGGAGCCCAGACAACTTCAGGGGCCTTGGAAGCCACTCCCCGCCCCCACACCACAGCCTCAGGGGAGCCAAGCTGAACCTCAGACAGTGACTGCGCCCTCACCCTTCCCCCACTGGCATGGGAAAAGGGCTGGGTCCCTGTCAGTGTCTGGAGCCTTGGTGACCACAGCCCACCCACTACTACACACTGTGGAAACAGGGCTGAAACCCGGACAGCTTTGGGAACCCCCGAATGGGAGCCAAGCTGAGCTCCAGACAGCTGTGGGAGCATTGGGGATCTCACCCCGCCCACACACACCATTGAGAGAGCCACACTGAGCACCAGGGACCTTTGAGTCCTTGCCCCACCACTCAGCATCATCCTGGGAGTGAGGCTGAGCTCCAGGGAACCTCTGGATCTCTAAAAATGAAAAACAAAGGAGCCAAATGCAATCAAAGACCTTCATCCCACCTACAACAAGTCCAGGAGATATCAACACAGAAGAGTTCAGAAGTCATACACCTGAAATTTCTGAAATGATAGCAGCTAAGGTAAAGAAACAACTCCATCAGGCCATGGAAGACATCAGATCAGAAATAATCTCTGAGGTAAAAAAAGAAATGACAACAATAATGGAAGAATTGCTTAGCACATCTATGAAGACATAGAAAAGAAAGTACAGGAGCACAGAAAATTAATGGAAACCTTGAATGAATAATATAGGAAAGAACTAGAATGCATGAAACAGATTCAAACAGATATCCAGGAAATTAAAACTTCCATTGAAAGCTGGCAAAACTGCTTGAACAAAGCTGAAGATAGACTTTCAGACCTTGAAGACAGCCTTTTCACTAACAAATGTGAAAGGAAGTAAATCTTAAAAACAACAATGAACCAGGAAATAACAATTCAACAACTGCAAGATGAAGCAAAGAAAACCAATGTCAGATTAATAGGTATCAATGAAACAGCAGGTGTCAGCACAAATAACATAAAAAGAATACTTGCAGAAGTAATAGCACAGAATTTCCCAAGCATGAAAAAAGAATCGGACATACAGGTAAGTGAAGCATATACAACTCCAATTAGCCATAACCAAAATAAATCTACACCCAGACATGTAGTAATCAAGATCCCAGAAATTCAACAAAAGAACAGAATATTAAAAGCTGTTAGAGAAAAGAAACATCACCTATAAAGGAAAGCCTATCAGAATCATGGCAAATTTCTCAAAGAACACCATCAAGTCAAGAAGAGCTTGGAGTGAAGTACTTCAGGTCCTGAAAAAAAAATTCCAACCCAGATTGATGTACCCTGCAAAACTATCCTTCAAAGTTAATGGAGAAATAAAATATTTCCACAATAAAGAACAACTGAAGAACTTCATGAGCACCAAACCAACCCTACAAAGAGTACTAAAAGATATTCTAGAAAGAGATAAAAAAAGACTACAACTTCAAGAACAACAACAGAAAGGAACCACCAAGCAAAGCAAGCAATTAAACAGAGGGAAAAAAGAGGAACCAACAGCAGAAAAATAACATGACAAAGATAAGTTATAACCATCAATGTAAAGGGTCTGAATTCACCAACCAAAAGAAGTAGACTGGCAGAGTGGATCAAGAAACAAAATCTAACAATATGCTGTTTACAAGAAACACATTTAAATCAAAAGGAAATTCATACACTGTAAATCAAAGGATGGAAAACAATACTCTATGTGACAGGAACTCAGAATAAAACTGGTGTAGCTATTCCATTTGCAGACAATGGGAACTTCAAACCAAGAACAATTAAAAGAGATAAAGAAGGTCACTACATATTTGTGAGGAGAAAACTTCAAGAGGAAGAGATAACAATCATAAACATCTATGCATCAAACATAGTAGCACCCAATTATATAAGACAAATTTTAACAGACATGAAAAATGAAATAATCAGCAACGCAATCATAACAGGGGACTTTAATACCCCCATTGCCACAAAGAGATAGATCAACTAGACAAAAAATCAGCAAAGAAATAACAGAACTAAACCAAACCTGTGAACAATAGACTTAGTAGACCTTTACAGAGTGTTCCACCCAACCGCATCAGAATGCACATTCGTCTCAGCTGCATAGGGGACATTCACTAAAACAGACCATATTCTAGCACATAGAACATGCTTAAGGAAATGCAAAGGAGTTGAAATTATCTCAACTATTGGACCGTACTACAATGAAA